TTGCGGAGAACCCTCGTCGTAAAAAGTTCACGTTAATTCAATTGAATTTGAATTTTGATTTTCAGTTTCTTCAAAGACCTTTAAAACACAAACGCGAAATTTTTGATTAGTCAAAGTACTAGGCAAATTGGAAACATCTTCCTTCTTTTTTTGGCTGCACTGGGGCCGGCTTCAATTCCATATAATTTTCTTTCTAAAACATGTATACGTAGTGCTATTAACTGTCGATGTAGCCCACTGCACTGTGACCAAAATGCATACCTAGAATTCTATTCAAGTTCCAACACAGTAAAAAAAACTCTCAAAAATATCTTGATTTGTCTCTACAAATGTATTTTCAGCAATGTACGTACACAGAAAAAAATAAATGACTCGGAAGAGAACGATCATATTAGAAAGTATGCTTGATATTTCATGCCTTCGTCGCCTTCGTAGACTTTCATGTCGTTCTGTGTTGACGTCATGGTTTATTGAATCAACCAATCGGAATCACTTCTGTTGTTTTTGAGTTTGAGATTTCAAACTAAGCCATATTCTTCAATTTCTTCAGCTTAACTAAGAAATTCTTATTTTAGGGTATTCATTTGATGCAATTCATCTACTCTAATAGTCACTCTGATTCTGACTGAACGATAAGGTAAGAAATAACATCAATTCGTCGTTTTCAATCACTTAAGATTTATTCATAGTCGTATCCTTTCAGAGCATTCGCTTCCTATATAATTTGTGAGGTTTAGCTGAGAGTTGTTTCAGCGTGTAGTCACTGAATTATTTGCGATTGAWTATGGGTGATATTTKGTAAACAACGTAGGATGCGGATACTACTGCAACGGTCTGAGAAGGAAGGAATATCAAATGTTTTCAAGAATCTTTTTAGCTGATATTAACAACTTTTATCATATAATTATCTATGAAATACCTATATTTCTCCATTTCGTAAAGTTAATATTTTCAGTAGTGAAAATAATACATTCGCGGTTTCTCTTATATAGTGTAAGTAACACTATAACAACACTCGAAGATAAAATCCGTATCTCCGCGCGCCCATGTAATATCCTCTATTTAATGAGCACCAGGCCAAACGGTCACGTTGATATCGATTCTTTTCATTCGACTTATTCCTTGGATAGTGACTGCCATTGCGTGACACAGCTCAAGCGTAAATATCTCGCGAACTAAAAAATAATTTCATACAACTGCCGTTTCTATTCGACTAAAATTTAAGATCTCGCACTTTTATAGACGTCGACCATATAATGAGAAATACCCTGAAGTCAATTGTATTCAAAGCTGTTTTTTTCCTATTTTTCTTGCATTAATTTTTTTAAAAGAACTTATTACACATTTTTTCCTCCGTTCAGTTACCCTCATGTAGCACGCAAATAAGTACACAGGATTGTGCAAAAATTAACCCTAGGGTTAGGGTTAGGGTTAGCAAATCCAAACAGCAATCACTGACAAAGCGCCAGTGTGCAGCCGTAACATGCAAAAAAAAATTTTTTTTCCGCTGATTTTTCGAACATTTGTCCCAAATAACTTTCTATTATTAGCAGATATCAAGTATTCAAAATCCGTTGAGTTTGCAACTATAACTGTGATTTGTTGTTCCGGGTAAGGTCTACTTTTTGCGTAAAATGCCTGGACTAAAAAGGTTTTTTTTTGCAGGAAAAAAATTGGCGAACCATGCAATAAGAACTGTAAAATCTTAACGTTTTATTTATTTCTCTAGAAAGCTAACACACATAATATCACCGCCATGGATATGAACATCGTACAACTTTTCATCAGGTTTTGTGTGAGGTATGCAGTTCACCGTTGCTCTGATCTTAATCATCTCACAAAGTCAAAAAGAGAAGAACTGATCTCCTTGTTAGAGGAATGTTTGGTGATGGCTCTTTTTGTACATGATACCGAGATGATTGTTCTCGTTTATTTTGGACTTGGTGATTTATATCATCTCGGCCATCAATCAGCTAAAGCAATCGATTATTTCCAGAATGTTCTGAGCCTTATTACTGGTAGAGGCAATCATGTTCTAGAGATGTATGCTAACAACTATTTAGGAAATATCTATCATTCATTAGGAGAATATCACAAGGCGATTGAATATCACGAAAAGATGCTGAGCATAGCGAAAGAGATCGGTCACAGACAGGGAGAGGGAGCTGCTCATGGAAATTTAGGGAATGCCTATCAATCATTAGGAGAATATCACAAGGCGATTGAATATCACGAAAAGATGCTGAGCATATCTAAAGAGATTGGTGACAGACGGGGAGAAGGAAATGCTTATGGAAATTTAGGGATTGCCTATCATTCATTAGGAGAATATCACAAGTCGATTGAAT